TTTGAAAATTACTAAAATTTAGAAATTTAGTATAGTTAGTTATATTAGTTACGAGTTATATTATTACGAGTAGTTTAGTTATATTGGAACTATTCTTTCCCCAACTTGTGGTCTTGTCGGTCCATATCCAATCTCTTTAAAAGCAGTTGTAAAAGTAATAAACATGGGTAGACAAAGGATTGTAAAAAGGGAGAAAATAGCGAAACAAGGTTAGACAAAGAGTCATAAAAAAGGGGGAAAAAGCAAGAAAAATGAGTTGAAGGAGGAGAATGGCAGTAGAGGTGGGAGGAGGGTAGAGTTAAGCCTGGTACTTACATGGGGCAATGGACGAGAGAAACAGTTGCTATTCCGTTGTCTTTCCGCGTCGCATGTACCCACATGCAAAAATTACCCTACAACTGAAACACGCCATCTGCCAGCCATAAATATAAACAAGCTACTACAATAGTAGGCCACATGCCAGTAGTCGAAAATGGCATTTACCGGGATTGCTTTGTTATATCAATTAAACTTTTTAAGTTTGCCTTCAATCTTATTGCAAATAAAAAACCTCAAAACGAATAATTTGGATAGGAAGAATATTCTAAATCGTCAGAAGTTAGGAATATCGAATACTTTCGTCACCAAATTATGATTACTCCATTCCCAATACTTTACGCAGTAAGTACATCCATTTGACATTAATATTTAAATCGGATAGTAATAAGGTGTATAAATGAAATATATTAGTGTATTGTGACAAATAAAGCTTTTTAGTTCGAATGCTATTGTCCCATGTGATCTTTATGATGACATTTGCTAAATGGCCTTCCTATTGGTCTAATTTTTGCCATTCTGCTTTCCACCTCACAAAAGTTGAAAATTTTCAACTTCGTGTTCCGTTGGCTTCGATGGCAAAATGACATCATTTTGCAGTTTCGTTGACAGTTTCTGTCATCCATTGCTGCATGTGAGTACCAGGCTTTAGTGAAGAGAGGAGGAGTGGTGCAGTTCAAAAGTGGGCAAGGAAGGATAAGAAGAGTCTCATTAACTGCATACGATTGAGTTTCTACCATATACAATCAAGTGTGATTAAAGTTTGTTTTTTGTTAAGATATTTGACTGTTTCAATTTGATACAATGAACCGTGGGGAGGGAATACATGAATGCAGACTAAATTCTCTAAAAGTAGCCTAGTTCATACTTAGTAAATAGCAAAAAGCATAAAACAAATGCAAAACTGGTCTAGGCTGCAAAAAGCAGAAAGCAATTGCAGATTTTGAGCAGCCAATCATTAAAAGCAAGAGAGAAATGTCATCAGTAAAAACAAAACACTTCTGGCATTCTATTTTTAACCACTATTACATATTTGTTACAAAAAATGAAAGATATGTTAAAAAAGAAAATGATGTTCGGTGAGAAAAATGTTTAAAAAGTGAGAATTGCAAGGATATCACATTAATTTTGACATCTCTGTGGTGTGATGATTTTGTAACCATCTTAAAAACTACTAGAAACACTGAGAACAAACAACACTATGATAAGTGGTGACTATTTTTCACTAGCAAAAAGTTCAACAGTTTCAAACTTCTGAGCAATTTGTGAAATGATAAAACTCACCTGAAATGACATCATATATGATGTGTTTTTCACTCTGCTTTTTTGTTTTCAGTATTTTGCTTGGTGTGAATTAAGCTTGACAAGAAAATGTGACAACCAAAGTAATTACACTATATCTGTATTACTTAATACTTATTAATGAAATTGTTTAATTCAAATTATTATACACTCCCCTTGAACTTCGAATTAACCAAGTTTGAGTGTATATAGGAAAAAGTTTACATTTATGCCAATACAATCTCTATATACCATTTAAATAGTATATAGAATGGTCCAAAGTGTAGAAACACTCACTTAAGACAAAAACAGATTAGCAAACTGTAATGTAATACAGGAGGAGGGATCTGTCAGGATGGAACCAACATAATGGCCATCTTGAAATTCACCTTGTTGGATTCAGCTCTTTGTAAACAAGATGGTGGGCATGTTTTATATCAGTCTGGTGGAGAATTTTACCCCAAAAATGATAATGTACTTAATTTTAACACAACTTTACCAGTGGCATGCCGTCATTGGAAGCGGTGGATTTCCGCTTCCATTGTATTTTCTAAAAAATAAATACATATTAATTTTAATTATATGAAAATAATCGCACAATATTTTATTATAACCGCATTATGTATCTTACTACAAATTTCTACACTACACATGAAAAAAAGATGAGATCGCTATTGTATATTTGAATATTAGTGGCGGAGTGGAAGTGCTGTATTGTCAGCATCCAAAAAGCCAGATTCGCACATGTGCTTTACAGAGCACCAACATCACCCGGTTTAGCTGGTGGAAGCCTAGGACCTTGGGTGAATGCTACACGTATACCACATCCAATTCTATCCAGGACCAGTTCTGGGCTGTTAGCCGCCTGCCCGCTAGATATTTGGCCACCCTCGCCCGATTACGTGAATTGCGAGTAAATTTATAATTTAACCCAATCAATAAGAATTTACTGGTATGTTTTTATGATAGTTCTGTATAGTTGACAGGAGTTTAAAAAAAAATCCATTAAAATATTTGATATTTTTATTCTTCTCTCCAATTTTATATTACTCACGGATTTCAATGTTAAACCAGTGATATGATTTCGTATTACTACATTCCACTATACCTTTAAAATGCAGTCTACTTTTGGATAGTTCTCTAACGTTTTCGGTCTAATTCATAGACCTTCTTCAGGATTGATGTAAACAATTTTAAAAATTTGAACTTTTCCAACGGTAATTCGAACAACGCACATTCTATAATCTTCAGATATTCGATTGCGCATGTCCTGTTATAAACAGCTAATGGACATGCACGATCGAATATCTGAAGATTATAGAACGTGCGTTGTTCGAATTACCGTTGGGAAAGTTCAAATTTTTAAAATTGTTTACATCAATCCTGAAGAAGGTCTATGAATTAGACCGAAAACGTTAGAGAACTATCCAAAAGTAGACTGCATTTTAAAGGTATAGTGGAATGTAGTAATTAATAATGCAGTTAGAGATTTAATAATTATGATTTCGTATATCCCATCTTTAAGGGGATACAGAAAAAAACATGTACAATTCTTGTATAATGTTAAAAAATTAACCGTTACTTTGACAGCGTCATTTACAACTAAATTTAATGAATAAGAGAGATGCATGAGGTACAGAAAAAGCTCTAGAATTTATTTTCCTTAAATTTACGATTTATGTATCCATTTGTCATAAAAATTTGTCTTTCCACTTTTTTCCCAAGATTACAAATATTCGAGTACAAAGTAACTGGTTTCGACTTACTTCTACTTAAGNCAGGTACAGAAAAAGCTCTAGAATTTATTTTCCTTAAATTTACGATTTATGTATCCATTTGTCATAAAAATTTGTCTTTCCACTTTTTTCCCAAGATTACAAATATTCGAGTACAAAGTAACTGGTTTCGACTTACTTCTACTTAAGTAGTAGTTAAATAATTAAACGATTAGGGAATTAGGGACATAAACAAACCCCTGATGAAAGAGCTGAAATTTTACTTAAAAGCTTAACCGAACCAATATCTAGCCGAGTACAGTGGGGACTGATTTCTTCATAATATTAGACGTAATAAAGACAGAAAGTTTTCCAGTTCAATGAGAGTGACTGAAAAGTTATAAATTTTGGAAATTTCTGTGGACACCTGGTTCTAAAACGAATTAGTTAGAAAACAAACGATGAACAATCTATTAAGTCTAACATATTTAGATTTTTACAGCTATGGTGAGAAACGTTTAAAATCTACAATAGCCCTGCACGTCCTTTGAGGTATACTAGTGATGCGGCAAAAGAGGTATTTGACATTGACCGGTATCGGCACCCTGGGGATTTGGCACTCCACGTGTATGCACGCTCTGCAACCATCTTTGATTCCATCCATTAGCCACTCACAGGAAGCTATTTGACTAAGTGCATTATTTTAAGATTTAAAAAGTAAAGAATATTTTATATTTTTATGTACGTTTCTTTATAAAGCTATCTTTAATTATAATTTTCTTTAAAAGTATATACATACAATTGAAGAATATTTTGTACCAGGTATGTACCGGTACATCACCACACATTTTATTTCACCAAGTAAGTTTTTATTATTTTATTTTTAATTGTAGCCCTTATATTGTGGCTAGTGATTCGGAATGTAATTGTGATATTAAAAATGCATTTAGAGAAGTCTACTGACTTATTGAATAAATGATACGAATGAACTCTTGACCATCACTGACATGCAATTGACTGATTACACCTGGATGTTGGCTTCTTACAGAAACACAGCTTCCCTATCATCAAATGTCATGGCACGCCACTGAACTTTACTCATTCTCAGCATTTATAAACATTTTTTCTTTTTTACATGATGGCATTTACATAAGCATAATACATTAATACAGTCCTGATATTAGATGACTAAAGCACACATTGCAGAAGATTTTGACCAATGCTATTCATCTTAAAAGGCTTGAACTAGTATTTAAACAGATATATTGAACAAAGTTCATCAGGAATAACAGGATGATAGTATTAACATTCCAACATTAAATATAACCTGTGGACCTTGTAGTCAATTTTGATGTTAAAAAAATAATTTGATAAATTTTTAATACATTACACTTACAAATTAGTGTTTTTAGATTTCACATAAAATCATTTAAATCTTGAGAATTAAACTTACTTTAAAATGAATCACACTATTGTTTTTCTGATAAAATTCTCTATCAGTTTAACATGTCACATGCCAACCTTCCCATTAAAAAACATGGAACTGAATCCAAAATGGCTGCTATGGCCTAACAATTTCCCTCTCCTATATTGTTTAGGAAAATTAAATTATTTGCCAACACAGTTTTGTTTTAAATAGAGCCATCTACATTTTTGGACCACTCTATTTTATTTTTCAATGAAACTTACCTTAAGATTTAAGGTTAAGAATTAATTCTGTTGTCTGGATGATGATTCACAGGATCTCACTTTTCTCCAAATGATGTAGTATCTGTCAAAATTTAATAATATAATTTCAATTTCAAGCAAACTTGGCATTATATTTTAATTAATATTAATTATGATAAAAACAAATTCAAAATTTTATAAACTTTAGACATAATTGTATAAAAAGATAAAAGTTTAAGTTCAAATTTCATTTTTATGCTTTAAATTTTGGTTATTGGTTACTGGAAGGTACTTATTGCAGTCCAATAAGTACCTTCCGGTAGCCGAGTGGATAAAACCACCAAACACTGATAGTTGGTTGTGAGTTTGCACATAGCCATGTGGTGCTTTCTGGGTTTTCTTTATATTAGTAACACTTAAATTGGGGCCAGCTTTACATAAAAGTCTTTCCAGGATGCATCCACCTTGGCAGATCGTTTACATGTCACATTGCTGTAACCAAATAAACCAAACCAAGTCTAATAATTTTTCTATAAACACGATATTTACAAGGACATGCTTAATTACTACGAAACCTGGACATCTTACCCCTCCTCTGATTTCATCTCCCCTTAGTAACTCAAAAACCTATTGCCCCAAACTTCTTTCACTGATATTGCTTAAGATGTTCTGATGTTCAGCAAAATTAATGTACAGTATGTGCAACAATTTTAAGGCACAAAGTAGAGCTTGAAATCTTTTTCTGTATATTATCATGGTGACATTGCTTCATCCAAAATTTCCCATAGTTGTAGCCTGTGTAATGTGCATTTTATTCACATGTCAAGTCTTACTATCAAATCTGCTTCCAGTATGCTTATGCCACAATTTTCGAAAGTTTCCTTTACTTAGATGTTTTTGCTGAGCTTTACTTTTTCAACCTAGTTTCACCATTTTTTTTATGGGATCATATAAAAGCAATTATTCTTGCATTTTTACAAGATTTTTTTTATTTAAACAAGTCTTATATCAAGTTTTCTGGGCATTAATTAAGCTTAGCAACTTTAATCACATGCAGGAGGGACCATTACAACCTATCCAATACATCACTCTTTAATTATTAATAGTAGACCAGTATTAAGTAATAGTCATTGACCATCCTCTCTCCCAGGAGGAAGACAACTATTACTTTTAGTCAAATTAACTTCACCCTCCATCTGCACCAATTCCTTCTTCCTATCCAACCCACCAGTATGGTGGCATCCAAATAGGAAAATTACATAATACAAGGTTGCCATCCTGTACAAAATATGATTTAAGGGGCTTTTGAAGGTGCCCAGTTTAAATATTTGGTCATTTTTTTACAAAATTTGATTCATTGGCAGATCACCATTTGATATTCAGCTGTGAATGAAACAGTTTGTTAGTGCTAACGTTAAAAAAAAAATATGATATGATATCTTAAAAAATTTAAGCTATTTTCAATCAGTGTCTACTTGACCAATGAAATTGTGTCATTTTGTACCATTTGAGTATCATGATAAACATGCCAATGGTAGGATGAAATAACCAAATTCTTTATATGGTTTTCGTTTTAATATTTGTTATATCATAGTATTTGATTTACATAACTCAAAACATTATCTTACGTAAGGGTTTTTCCTACTGAGTGACCAATCTAATTCATTTGAAAAATTCTCTCTCTGTACTGTGCACAATTTAAAGAATTTTTAAAATGTGTTAGATTGGTCACTCAGTGTGATAAACCTTTTTGTAAGATAACATTTGTAGTTATATACTCAAATACTGTAATATAATATAATAGAAGGGCTAGAAGTATGAAATAATCTAACAATCTTAATGTTTGTACTTATTTTTTGCCTGGGCAATGCCAGGTTTACCTGCTAGTATTATAATATATAATATTATATTAATAAAATTTCATATTTAATTTAACTTAAGCACATTTAAATATGAATTCTTGAATGTCATTTATAACATGTGAAATTAAATTTAAATTTAATTTCACATGTTATAATTAATTTAATTTAATTTCACATGTTAAATTTAACTGTGGTGCATACTAAAAAACAGAATTAGTATCTTTCCCACAGTGCATTGAAAAGTAATTTTAAATAGCAACATCCTTGATGAATCATTCATGACATTTGACATAAGGCAATTTCAGTGCCACTAACTTATGAATGAGTAGTCCTGTTGTTTACTGTTTGGGCCATTGACCAACTTTCTTTAACACAAGAAGTATAGGAAGTTGATCATCTGTGGCCAGCCGTGCTGAGTAGCTTGTTTATTTTTATTTGTAATCAAATTATCAATAAACTATAAAATTAATCTAGATACAACTTGGTAATTGTTTAAAAATATTTTATCTTAAATATTTTTAAATTAATTAATTCCAAAAAACAAAAAAAAACATATACCAGGTAACCCCCATAAAACACAGCATGGATTCACTCTAACACGGTTCGAGAATTGGGAACATCCCGTAAAACACGGTGCTTTTATAGCATGAGTTCACACTGACACGGTTCAGGAATTGAGTAAAACATGAAATGTAATGAAGGGTGCGTTCTTTTATACCTCCATGTAACTCCGTGCGAGCATTCTAATTGTTTTCGTGGCTACTTTGAATGCTCTTTCAACAAATAATCCATTTAATGGTTAAATTTTACAATTGGGACCCTTCTTTTGTCTCTAAAAGCTCATTTTAGAATTATAAATTCCTCCATCACTTTTCTATCCATAGTGCGGGCGCTGCCATCTTTCTTTCACCATTGTTCTTAATGCCTACAAACAGCAGTGCATTCCAATTGCAGAGCAACCGCTATTAACGAATGCACCCAAAAACTGTTACCAGTTGATGATGCTCATGCTGAGATCATCATATAGGATGAATAATCCTCTGATAAAATATTTACTTAAATAATAAATAAGTATTTTACCTGTGAAAGCCGAATTTATTGGAATAAATTGTTAAATTTTTTTTTCTCGTAAGAGGAACAGTTTAGAGAAATAAACAATGACCCAACATATAAAAAGGACATAAAACTTTTTTCTACGAACTTAATTCCGTGTTGAGGATGATACATCGAATGTGTCACCCGGAATCTACGAAAAGACAAAAGAAAACCTCTATTGGTCAGTGATGAAAAAACAGTCCTAATAAGGCAGTGGAAAAACCCAACAATACCCCCTTTATAAAACGGAGGGATCGATGCGTAAGTGTCAGTCTCCGGAGTTTGGTGTGAACTGTGGATTTTGTACACAGATTAGCCACTACTATTCTAATCGCCGCCGTTTGAAAGAACTTTGCGCCATATTGTTCGGAAGAACTTTGTGTCACATCGACTCAAAGACTAAACAACTATTCGACAACTTAAATCAAGGTATTTATCCTCGTGCAAAATACATGTGAGCTCTCTCTCTCATGAATATGGGTAATCGAAAAGAAAATAGATATGTTAACTGAATCGATTGTATATAGCTTAAAGAGAATAATAAACAGGCATTATGTATAGATTATGTAAAGTGTAATTCCTCTGATTCTCTCTTTACGCCTCCATCCCAAAACTAAAAGTCCACAAACGTGACCGTTCGCATAACCAAAATTAACGGCCAATAATTTTTTTTCTGTGTCTGTTACACACAGTATGTGACACAGTGGTGTCATCCTGACAGGGCGCCAAAGAGGTGCCGACCCTGCGGTCACATACCTGTGAAAAAAATGAATAATAAATCCAATCTAAATAAGGATTTAACAGCATAATTTTTAATTTTTGGAACCTAACCTCCCTTTTCGCACTAGTTCTTTGTTTCGTATAACATGGATTCGCATAACATGGCAATTTTTCGAAACGTAACTCCCTTGTTATACGGGGGTTACCCATAATTTTAAACTTTTGTTTTTCAGTTTAAAAGAAACAGGGAATTTTGTCATCTCTGTAAATGTGGCTTGAAACACTGAGTTTATTTCTCTATCAAAGTTTTAGGCACGTATTTTATGGAAAAAATAAGGCTATAATTAACTTAGATATTTTAATTTTGAATTCTTCAAAGAAATCTAAACCATTTAGGTAAATTACAGTTATATTTTGTTATCCTCTTATAATCAATTAACTGACACCTAAATGCGAATTCCAGCACACAATAAACAAAGAAATTTTAATGTTCAAACGTTTTTGGCTATGTTTTAGAGGCCCTCATCAGGAATGAATGTACAAAAAACACAAAAACAGATCTTTCCTTTGAAAATTTCTAACTTTCTAGCTTTTCTTCATTCCAATTTTTAAACATTTAAATTATCCTCTTATAAACACAGAAAAGATCAATTTTCTTTATAATCTGAAAACTGTTTTAACAATAACTTAAATAACTCTGGAAACTTCAGTCCAAATTTAAAAAATTTTAAATAAAATTTTTGATGTTAGATGTCTGTATCATTAAAAAACTATCATCATCATATTTTAAAAATACTTCAAAAGTATTCTATGTTCTAAATAATAAAACATTGGTTTGGGAAACAATCAATATAAAACAACACAAGCAAAATATATTTAAAAATAGTTTACTCTTAATGAAAACAACATTCTTGATATAACAAATCAGCATCAACATAACATTCTGCTATTAGCTCAACTGAGTAAAATGTCTTCTCTACTTTGACCCATCTATCTTCAGGCTTTGAAGAGCCAGAACCAGTTACATCTACAATGGAATCTCACTTAACGAGCATAATTCGTTCCAGAACATTACTTGTAATGCGAAACACTCATTAAGTGAAACTATTTTTCCACATAGAAATTAACATAAAATGTGATAATGCATTCCATGCCAAAAAAATACTCAAATACCATATTTACTTGCATATAAGATGAGGTTTTCATTCATTTTCCACTGCTTCAAAAACCGAGGTCATCCTATATGTGCGAACAAAGGATCCTTTGCATTTTTGCAATAATTCTTGTGAACTGCATATAGTTCATGCTGCCATTATAGAAGAGTGCTATTGAGGTCAAGGTGAATGTTGCTTTTAAAGAGATGATCTGAAAATAGCTGGTCAATAATTATAAATGTATTTATTTCATATTTGTTAAATTGGTATTT